AGGCGGCTCTCTTCCTTTTACGAGAGGACTAAACACTTGGACATTGATTGTCATATTGTTCGAAACAAATACAAAGAAGGCTTCATCGTTCCCAAGCACATCTCCACGCATCATCAGCTGGCTGACATCTTTACCAAATCTCTTCCTGGCCCTCAGTTCAGCAAAATCATCTCCAAGTTGGGCTTGCTTGTTTTTCACCGCGATCCCACTTGAGGGGGGGATATGGAGATTATTTGGTTAATTAAATAATAACTAGTCAGTTAGTTTGTTAATGTTGGTAATTAGTTCTGAATTAGTTACACTCGTTTTTACCTTTTTACCCTTATGCTTTGTATAAATACTAGACTTCATTTCAATAATAAAAGTGTGGGAATTATGATTTCCCAAACTATTTCTCTTCCTAGATTTGCTCACTTTGTACTAGCTATGAAATTTCACTTTCCAAAACGATTACTCATTAGATATAAACAAGAACACATGACTATTAATCATCAAGAAACCTAATTAGCAAGAAATGAATATTTAACGAAAATCATCCTTGTCTCATTTGAATATAACTATCATGTTGAAACTAAGCGTCCGTTTGATTGCAAAAGTGGAAAATGGGTTAAAGAAAATGAATTATAGGGAATTGAATTGTCTAGAAATTGTTTTACTGAGAATTGTAATTAATTATGTTTGATTTCTATAATTTTTCATTTGAAAAATGTTGAAAGTTTGATATCCGTTTAGCTTTATTTTTCATGAAAATTGTCCATTAAAGCGATAATTTCTTTTACCATTGGGTCTAGAATTTGTTTCATTTGCCAAAAAAAATTTTTTTTTTTAAATTACCATACCGAATACCATTCGTTTGACTTTGTTTTGTATGGAAATTGTCAATAAAAGTGATAAAAATTTTTACCATTTGGTCTAGAATTTTTCCCAATTACCAAAAAAAAAAAAAGAGCTGGAAAATGAAAACTCACCCAAAAGGTGGGAAATGAATTTCAACAAAATCAAGGAAATGTGCACGTGTGAGAGAAAGTGAAAAAAAATTTCCATTGAAAATTTCTACTATCAAATAAGCAAAAGCTAGAAAATTGAAAAAGAATTTCTAGTACTAGGGAAAATTAAAGGTAGCAAACAGGCCCTAATAGTTTTTGATACCTTAGACAACCTTAACAAAACTTTGTAGTGATTGGCTAATTAATTTTTGGGAAAATTAGGCACAATACTCTAAAAAATTAACAAATTAAACAATACCCTATTAAGTAATTAAATCATATAATTAGCATAATTAATACGTTCTAGAATTACAAAAGCACCCAAAACCCAAATCAGCACTTCCTATTTCAGAAAACTCTCAGAGGGTGTTTGATGGATAATATTGAGGAAATAATGTATTTTAAATAGTAATACGATGAGAAATATATAATTAAAAAGTAAGGAAAAATTATTAATGTGATGGAAAATATCATTTTATTGAAGAATGTATGGTTAAAAATGAGTTTTGAAAAAATGTATTTTGAAAGAATGTGTGTCAAACGGGGCCTCTCTTCATTCCTTCTCATCGATGTCTCATCGATTCAACTAGTTTTTTTCTCTTGCACCGTATTTTTTTCTTTTCAAGTTTCCAAATAGATTCCTTTGAATTAGTCACTCCAATTGGCGGCTGATCAATGTCATCAGAGTATTTGAAATTGGAGTCTGCTCAAGAAGGCCATGTACACAACGCCATCTAGGAACAAGTCAGCACATTCCATGGACTTTTGGTTTGGTCGTCCACGAGTTTGCTACTATATATTGCATGTTTCATTAAAGTGAGACAATATTATATTTATTAAAATTTTAATTAATTAATTTATAAAAGTACAATTATTCAAATATATTTGGTAAATTAAAGCTTTTGGGTGCGTTTGATTACAAATGTGAAAAATTGGTGGAAAGAAAATGAATTATATGGAAAATAATTGCCTAGAAATTGTTTTGCAGGAATTGTAAATTAAGTGTTTATGATTGGTGTAATTTTCTACCCGAAAAATTTTAAAATTTTGCGTTCGTTTGACTTTGTGTTTACATGGAAATTGTCCACTAAAGTGATAATTTTTTTCACAATTGGTTATAAAATTTGTTTCCATTGCCAAAAAGTTAAAAAAAAATGAATTTTTTCCTAAAAAATCATTTTGTTAATCGAAATTTAATATTCGTTTGACTTTGTTTTACATG